CACATCTGAAAAATGTTTGTGGTGTACAAGTTGCTCTGAAACATCCAGCTGAAGGCAATTCTTGTCCCGAAAGTAATGTGACAATATTATAGTACAGAAGTCTCTCTTCAGGTCATATCTTTCAATCAAGTTCTGTCACCATGTGAAATACAACTCTAGAAAGTGCAAATGGCTCAGGGTAAGCTATTTCAAAGGTCTCCTAATACTGATCAGTTTGCCCAGAGACCTTTGTGTGTTCTCCTACAAAATAAATATAGCCCAGGAGATATGGTTGGTATATGATCATGCTCTGACAGTTCTAGTTTTCTGGAGTTGAAGTATGACTGTACCAAAGCCAGGCTAAAACAATCCAACAAAAAAATCTGTCTCCTTGAAGGCAGCCATCAGTCAGAGCTTGCATAAGACTCTTCTGATATTATACAGAGATATCTGAAGGGATAAGTTGAGAGAAGATGCTTCATAATGTAGGTGGAAAAGGAAGAGGAGTCTAAGTCAGAAGCTTTGTTCCGAGGCAGTTTTATAAAATGTTTTGCTTCCCTTTCTCTGTTTATAATACAATCACTTGTTCTTACTCAGTTTGCCGTTGGGATCCCAAGAAGCTGTTGACTTAGCGCTTCCATTACAATGTTGTCTAAACATGCTATTGAGTTGATTTTCATTTCCCCCACCCTGTCTTTAACTTTTGCTGGGTTATACTGCATGCCTGAGCATCCTCAGATAAACAGGATGAGCAGATGTCAGAGTTACTGGCTTGTGTCTCTAGGCTGAAACTGCTAACAGACTGCTGCAAAAGTTAAAGTATGAGATCGCTTTCCCCTTGTCTTCCTCTTTTGTCTGCGGGCCCTTCAACCCTTGGTTTCTGAAAGTTCAGAGGATTTTAACGGTAAGACTTGGGATTTCACTCCCAGTGTTTCCTAGGGTCCAATAATATGAAAAAACTCTGGTACCTGGAGCGCTTTCAGTAAGTAGGTATTCAAGAAAACATGTCTAGCTACCTGGCAGCTGAAGCTGTGTTTTGCTGAAGTACACTCATAAAGTTAATAACAACATTTGGGAATGAGCCTGGTGAGCCAGCTCCCAGATCCCTCATTGTAAATTAACTTATGCAAAGAGAAGCAATTCTCTGTTCTGGTTCTGCGCCCTGATCTGCAAGTGAGTTGAAGAGGTTGTTAAGGACATGCTTATGTGTTTCTGAATGACTTCAGTTGCTAAGTGTGCCCCACTACATAAAGGGAGGGGATGCTGCCCTGTGCATTCTAGCCAGCTGTTGAATTGGCCCTCACTGGTTTCTCCTAGGCATCCCTGTGGCCCAACATCATCTGTGAACTGCAGAACGGTGTGAGGCTGCGCAAGGCCACTGAGCGACCACAGCGTCACACGCCTCCGAAAGAATGTATCCGTTCTCCCTACGAGTTGCTTTTGGATGATATCCAGAACAAGAGGTACACCCTTCGGAAGGTGAGTGACTAAAGTCAATGGACAACTTTGAAACCACCTGCTCTACCTCATTTCTAAGCAGTATTTGTTGAGACCTCTTCTCCAAAAGCCTGTCTCAAAGGTACTTCCAAGTCCAGAAGTGTCTGGGTCTCTCAGCTGCAGCTGAACATTAGGTCACTCTGTTTGTCCATGCAAATGCTTCATTTCCAGTAACTTTAAGTCAGGGGTAGCCACGCTTTCATGAAGCTCGATGGTAAACTACTTCTCCTTCCAGGGGTGAGACGTTCCCTTTCTTGGAGAAATTAGGCTGCCTTGCACACAGCAGTTCCATGAAACAGACCCTTGCCTGCTTATGCTTTCCACCTTGGACGCTTGTGTCCTCCCAGGCTCCTTGAGCTGAGTTGTACCTGGCATCTCTTACTAGTTTCCTTGCCTTCCTGGGTGTTGTGGGATGTGTGCAAGTGCAAAAGCACTTTTGAGTGACTATTTCACTCAGCCTCAGGCAGAGGTCTCTGGGCAGTGTACATGAGCTACTGCAGGAGTTTAGTCAGGGTAAAAAAAACCTGAGACCCCTTCCAGGGCCAGCTGCTGTGCTGATTCAAGTGGTAGGCGCTTCCAACAATGTGGATGGTCGGTGAAAATGACAAAAAATGTCTGGGGTGTCTCTAAAGGCTTGTGATGCTGTTGGCTTGCTGCAGCTTGAGCTGGGAATGATAAGCAGATCTAAAACATTGGCATAAGGCTTTGTGGCATTGGCGTGCTTTGCAAACAGACGTCTTGGCAGAACATGAGACACAACTCTACTTGTAATAAAGAATGATATTTTAAAAAGTGAAAACTTTGCATACCACACTAGACATCAGCTTTTTCTCCTTTTTGGTGCTGATAGAGTGCAGGGGGTTCAAAAGCCTCAGCTAAACCATGCACCTCTATAAAACCATAGCTTTTGTTTGTCTTAACTGTGGCTCCAGCCTTCAGATAAGGCTATGATGTTTGTCTGGAGATGATATCTTGATTGATATATAATTGAATAGTAGTGGAAAGGAAGCAGTACATCATAACTACTTGAGTGCCTTGCAGTATACTGTGTATCAACGCACCATGCAGTACAGAACCATAACTCAAGGTGGCAGGATGAACTGGGTCTTGATTTTTTCTTTCTTATTTTTTTCTTTTTTTTTTTTTCTGTGGTCGATGAGAAGCACAAACACGTTTTGAAGAGTAGTAATCAGAAATGCTAGAAGAAAGCAGAAAGTGCTCCTGCTCAGGTCTTTGTGAAGGCTCTTAAACAAGGATTTTTCCATCTGCAAAGCTATTTTAAAGTTTCTCTAGCAAACAGTGGTCTAATTTGCAAATGAACGAAAGCACAGCTAGTGTGGGAAGCTGTAGTGTTCTACCTGCACTCCCATGTGTTCTGAAGTTGTATGCACAGGGCAAGTAAAATGGCATCACCTCAAAGTAAGAATAAGTGGGTAAGGCAGCTAAAGTCATGCATGCTCAACCTGACTTTTTTGTCAGTTCTCCCCTATGCGCCAAGCACAGGGCTTGATGAGGGAGACAGTGCTTCGCATGAATACCTGCCCTGCAATTCTATCTTGCTATTATTCCTGGTTTATGTAGGGCTGTAAACCAGTCTCTGGGACTCTAGTTTATGCATACAGCTGCCTGCTGCTACAGTTCTTCTTACAGTCTTGTTAACCCATTCAATTACTTTCCTCCCTAGAGCTGAGTTCACACTGATTAATGTCATGTGATCATGGTGCTTGTCAGGATCATTCCTGACATTAAAATCAGAGTACAACGTTTTCCAGTGTACTCTGCTTTCTCATAGCAGTTCACGAGCTGCTGGGGCTAGAAGGCTGTATGCTTCTTGTGCAAGCCTCAAAGGGCTGTGCAGCACTTCTGATTGCCTCTAGTTTGCCACAGGCAAATCTGTCTCTACCAAAAACCTGTATAAGTAAACCTCATCATTCTACGCTTCCCAGCTCAGTTTTGTTTATGCCTTCCCCACTTCCCCCATTCCCAAATCCTGACTTGCGTCATTAGCTGTGCCACTGACTGGGAGGGTGTACCAGGAGTAGAGAAAGAACTGTTGATTAAATATCATTTCTGCTCTTTCATGTGATCATTGAGCAAAACCACAAGGCCCCCAAAGTTGATGTAGTTGCCCCCAAGCCTCATCTAAAGCCTGTAGGTGACCTGGTGCTGTCTCTAATGATAGCAAAACAAGATGATTCTGGAGCTGACAGGACAGTTTCTAGGAACAAAAAACTAATGTCTTAGCTGCTGGTTTGGATTTGGGAGAGGGATATATTAACCATCCTTAACTTTTGGGCCAACCCTCCTGCCAAATCATGGGGTTAGGAAAATGGGAGGTGATATCTTCATAGGAGGAAGATGATCAGTCTCCCTACTTCTGCTTCTTCCATTTGGAACGTTTTTGTGGTCCTGAAAGTACTCCTGGAGTTCTCAGTTCCAAAACTGAGAGTTGATAAAGTATTCTGCTATGCATTATCTAAAGGTTCTCTCATATGCAGGGCCCAGTGCCCTCTTGAGTGAGAGGCACTTGTAAAACAGTGCCATTGCTGAAGGACTAGTTCTGTCACCACTGGTCTCCTTGTTCTATCTACTGGCTCTTTCTGGTGCTATGCTTTGCCTGCAGGTGGGGGAGAGGAAGCTGAAAGAGTGGGTGCCGTGGGAGTCCAGCTGGCATGAACAGCTCATGGCAGAAATACAACGACCACAGAAGCTTCAGTCATCAGCAGCAAGGGAAAATGGGAGCGGGCCCAAAGGTACCTGCTACGAAGTGACCTATCAAGCATGCAAGTGAAGTCAGCGTTTACTAGAAGTAATGAATGGCCTTTGAAATGAAAGCCCACTTATCTTTTCCATAGTCTGTATAATGCAAGGGAGGTGGGAATGCAAATTCTGTGTGATAGAGGTTGTATGGCATAAGAATAGTTCTTTCTAGAAAATCTGTCTGTGGTTTATTAAGACTAAAAAAAGGGTAAGTTGAAACTTTTTTTTTAAATGAGTGTTCAAATTTGTCTGTCCACTAAGTGAGAGAACAGGATTTTGGCCATCACCTAAAACTAAAAGATTATGTCACTACCAGGACAAAGTCTAGGCAAATCTCACATTCTGATGCGTGCATATCAAATTTGTCATTTTCTTTTCATAGCACAATATCTTATCTTGTCTGTGTGTGGGAGGTTTTTTGTTCACCCTCTCCCCTGCAGGAATAAATATTGCCTTGAAATCTCCAAGCAATAGTTTCTTAAGTCTCCAAGATGACAGTACCGAGTTTGAAATTGTCAACAGTACAACACAGCAGCTGGGACCAGGAGTTCAGGTAAGGCTTTAAATGCAAGGACTCTGGAGAGGCACAAATACTTCAGGCATTAGATGTGCACACATGCATAGCCAGGAACGTTGGGTTCAAATCCTAATGTGGGCAATCTTGTCTCTCAAAAGCGAACGAATGTGGTACGTACTATTGGATTCACTGAAGTCCTTTCCTCTACAGAAGCTCAGACCATATTTAAACACTTCTTGTGGCATGTCTTCAGCCTGTAGAACCAAGGTCTCTTAAAACTAGATCCTGCAGAAGTTTTAATATGCATAGGAGTTTGGCGAGTATGGGCCAGAACTATTCTCACCCTTATCTCATGGTGAGGCATTTGGTGCTAGATGTATTGATGTATTTGCATTTCACGTGATATGTGAACTTGTGGAAGGAAAAGTTAATGATTGATTTTTTTTTCCAGAAGGAACTTCTCTGTTGAATTTCCACTATTCTGCTTGTGGAGCAATTTTGGGAGTACCATTCTTCAGTAAACCACCATACATAGTCTTTGGGTTCTTTAACTCCTGGCTTGATCATGAAAAGCTTGACTGCATGATTCTGGGATTCACTCTGAGCATCTTCAGAAATTTTGTGGAACAGAACTTAAGCTCTAACACTTCATGTCTAGCACAGATGCGCTGGCATCCAAACAGGAATCTGTTTTCTGTAAACATTTCTGTCTGAAATGCAGTTGCTTAACTGAGGAAAACGGATATGAATTAATAAAAGCAGAAAATCTTAGCTATATTTGCGCAAGTCTGTGCTACTTGTAGGAATGTTCAGCATTTGGGAACCCTGTGGTTGATGTATTACTGCTAAACTAGAAGGACCTTCATATGGAGACTAATATAATCAAATTTGTTTTCTGCTTTTCTAAAGGAGCTGTTGAGATACAGCATTGGGTTGGAGTTGGGGTAGTGGGGCAGTCTCTTGAACTGTTCTCCAGTGTTGCTACATGTGAGCTGGAGCCAAGAAAATGGTTCCAATGTACTCTGTGAGTTGTATAGGAAGGATTTGGTGAAGTTGGCTCCTGAAGAGATGTAACTTTGGGTCTAGTATCCCCATTGAACTTGGGTGAGAGAGAGAACAGACAGATCTGAAATTTTACTAATTTGCCTGAAGTTTCCTGGTTGCGGGGGCAATTAACTTGCTGTTACCTCTTGGAATATGAAGTTGCTAAATGTACCATGTAGATTTCTCTCTCCCCTCCACTTTTGTCTGAGCCTTGAACATTTCTGGTCAGTCCTGGGTATCCTGGGTTTTGTTTAGCAGCAGCATTTCTGAGGAAGTGGGCTTGGTGTCTCCTGTGTGCTGCTTAAGAACATCCTGTCCTCTGGTCTATAGGAAACCACTCCCAAGCTGCCTTCCAGCACCTGGCTTGCCTCAGCCAGGTCATCAGTGGTATCCTGCAACGGCACAGGTCAGTGTACTTCTAGCTGCACACCTAAGCCAGGTGACAAAGTATAGTCAGTGGCCTGCTGGGTTCCCAAAGCCTTAGGTTGGGCTTACTGTACACTTTCTCTCTGATCACCAGGAGACACTTTACAGGAGAAGCCCCAACGCTAAGTAATGAGTCTGCAGAGCTGCCCTTGGAAAACCATTCCTCTGCAGTTGACTGAAACTTGTATAGCTCCTGCAGCTTCAAAACAATGATAGCATGTCCCCAAAGGCCTAACTGGAATTCACAGTAAAAGCTAAATGAGTGGTTTGAATGTTCAAGTAGAAAGTGCACCACTTGATTTTTTTATTAAACTAAACGGTGCTAATGAAGCCTCATCACTGCCTACTGACAAGCATAATTACTGTAATCTCTGCTTTTTGTGATCTGAACTGACGAGGGTTGAGGGGGAGAGATGTAAGCCTTGCTACCTTCAGGAAGCAGTGTCGTGCTCTTGAGCACTCAGCTTTTGGCGTGAATACTTAGAAGCTGCCAGTTGGTTTTCTGCAACCTAAAACTTTCTTCCTATCCAGGTCTCACTGCAAATTCGACATGTCCTCCCATGAGTGCATCCATACTAGCCAACATTAAACTTAATGGTTTCCTGAATGCTGGACAACAACAGCTGCCTCCTTACAGACGAAGGTCTGGATCTTTAGAGAGAGGCCTTCAAAGCAAGGAACTTGTAAGTCCAACATGTCAACTAGCAAGCCTGGTCTGATACATCTGGTAATGACCAGAGCTTGCACCTTGATCTTTATGCAAGCAGTAAGCATGTTCTGTGTTTTATCTTAGGCCATATTGTGTACTGATCTTAAATTGGAATATTATCCTCTCTGTGGACACAGCTTAAGAGAAGACTGGATGCTCTAGTGTTCTTGTGGAGGCTTGCCAGTTTGAATGATGTGAAATAAAGTTGTTCCTCATATAAGAGAAAAATACCACTGCATTACTTGAAAGTGTCCATCAAGGCTTCCTGAAGCAGACTATAGTTGGCAATGGGACTGTCCTGCTTTCTCTGTCTCCCCTCATTCTTTCTAGATTATGATACGTTCACAAACATCCTTTAAGTTGCAGTAAAGTGAACAAGTGGTTGACAAAATGTAGATAGCACAGCATCAGTGACTTTTACATATATGCGGTACTGAAGTCATCAGGCTGTGAATAACAGTTGTGAGAGCAATGCTGGGTTTTGTATGCTTCTGTGCAATCTTCTGAATCATGGCCTTGCCCTGTTCTGCCCTGACAAGGTGTGCTGTGACCTTGCCTCCTTCTTTCCTTCTGCATGCCTCCCTGCCCCACCCCAGCAAGTCTCTTAAACTGACCATAAGTCTGTGTGACCTCTTTGTTCAGCATGGGTTGGGCTCCCTGCCTGGGGATAAAAGCACTGTTGTCTCTCCTGGTCAACCACCAGCCCATAGCTGCCATTTGTGTGGGGCCAGTGGGTCTTGGGAAAGAGAAGGCAAGAGAGTGTTGTGCTGCAGGAAGGGATCCTGTACCTAGGAGGGGCCAGTGTGCCATCTCTGCTGTGGTCTGTACCAAAGGGTAGAATTCCCCAGAGACTGGCTCTGGAGGTGGTATTGACTACTGTGGTAACTGAGGGACCTGCTTCTGTCATGAGGTGTCAGGAAGCTGCTTGAAAACTATAGCAACTACTAAACCCCCTGTAGTAGTTTCTCTGCTAGTATTGTCAAAGAGTCAACTGATACTCCGCATCACTGGCAAAACTGAGTTTTGGGCACAGATGCTCTTGAGCTTTTTGGGACCCAGTTTTGAGGATGACCTTCCCAAATAGCTGCTTCCTTCAGGTTTCTCTGATGCTTAACTTCTGCCTTTTGATAGGACTGTCCCTTTCCTACCAAGTGGCCATCACCAACCATTGCTGAGCTGATTGGAACCAGATATGCAATGATAGTACTGGAAGGGCAAGGCTTGTTCCAAGGAGGTAGTGATGGTGTCTTTCCAAGAGCAAAGGTACGTTTCCTCTCCTCTTTGTGCTGTCCTTGCCTTTTCAAAAGCTGGCTGGCTTCAAGGCCCTCATGCCTCAGCTGAACTGCTGAGGTGCTCTCTGTGTCAACTTATCCTGTTCATACAGCTGATCCCAGTTTGGCTGTAAAAATCTTTAAATACTTGTCTGGTGATGGCTTCTAATCAAGCTTAAACTCTGCAAGTTGCCTAGAAAGTAACCCAGCCTTTGCTTGATACTTGTTGTCTGTTATTTCCATGCAAGGAGAGCTGACTGCCATGACTGGCCAGCTCTGAAATCACAAAGTAATTAACTGGGATTTGGTACTGCTAAAAAGTGAAACAAAGGCTCTCAACTCAGGCTCCCACACCTGAATTATGCTGACTCAAACCACCTTGCTGAGTGGACATGGTCAGGCAGATGAGGGGGACAGGGAATGATCTGCAGCGCAGGACTGCTGGCTGTCTACTCTGCTTAACTGCTGGCTTATTCACTGAGTCTCCTTTAGAGGGGGTGTTGCAGCCAGACCTTCTAGAGCTGAGGTCATGAGTACAAGCCCTTTGCAAGACAGTTGCGAGGAAGTCTGCGCTACTTGGCTTAGGGGTCAGCTTCTTGCCCTCACAGACTTAGCAGTATAGACAGAGCCAAAGGGCTTTACCAGTAGAACTATGCTACCTCCACAGTCTGTCTGATGCTCCTGAGAATGAATCCTTGTTATCTTACCTTACTTATCAACCCTGCTTGTACTTTCCTGCTCTCTGCCTATTCTAAAATGGCTCTCTTACCCCCTTTGTGTTCTTGCTGCTGAAGTTTTTTTAGCTTTCTCAAGCTCTACTTCTCAAGATAATATCACTTCTGACTGCCAGCTGTGTATGAATGTGCTCTTTTTTTATAAAGTTCAAGCAACTCATCAGCTTCCTTATGACTCATTTTTTTTTTTTTTTTTGCTTCAGGATTGGATTCAAATTTGCCCTGACTTAATCTCTCTGGGATTGCTGCAGTCTACCTCAAAGAATGTCTCTCTTCTTCCCTCTCTCTTAACTAGCTACTGTTACACTCTTGCACAATACAGCTATTGTTTGCTCAAGAGCCTTTTTTTAAACTCCTGTTGTCTGGCAGCTGCCCCAAACCTCTGCATCATAAAAACACTGACCTACAAGTAAGACTCTTTTTTTGCCTTTTTAGCTTTTAGTTCCTATGTCTTTGCTATCCTTTACTGGATCTCTGTTATTGTATGTGGATCTAAAGCCTTTATTTATGTGCTTTCTCTTTGGCAGGCAGTGGATACTCTTGGTACAAAGATATTTCCCATTTGTATTCACAAGTAACTTTCCTTTCCACAGATCTGTTTCAGCTGCCATAAGCAGATGTTTCTTAAGTGGCCTTACAGCTGTTACCTCTGCAGCAGGTGAGCTGGTACAAAAGGATTGAATGAGGAGGGAGAAAAGAGTGAAAGAACAGTGCTGAAAATACTCAGTATTCAAACAGTTGTAGTACTGGATAGGAACAGGTTGCTGAGCCCTTCAGTTTTGCCTAACTGCACAAGCCAGGCTGAACTGTCTACAGCTGCAGAGGATGTGGAAAAACTTGCCTCTGAAGTGGTATCTCGATTTTAACTCTTCATATTAAGCTAGCAATAACCAAATTTACTGTGCAAGTATTAGACTCAATTTCTCTGAGACCACACTCTGCATTTTGCTCTAAAGGTTGGATTTAACTTCAGTCAAGGGCTTGAGCAGGTTCTGGGAGGGAGTCTTCACCAGAATCATCTTCTGAGGACTGAAAAAGTAAACTCCAGACCCTGTGACTGGGAAAGCAGTTGGACTTACTTGTATCCACTTATTTGTTAGAGGTTTTCTGTTTGTGGGAGAGGAAAAGAGGAACTTCAGGCTCATTAAGGCTCACTTAAATCTATTTGAAGCAGTAGTGAAGCACTGAATTGATTACAAGCAATACAAGCAACAAGTAAACAACCACTGGGAATTGAGTAACTGTCTAGTGGTGGAGCTGGGTGAAAAGTAATGGGCGTTTGCAGATAAAGCCTTCAAGCTATGGATGCTGACACATTTCAGATGATTTAAAGTAGGATAAACAGGAGGCCTGGCAAACTGAATAGGGGAGTTCTAAGCTTGCTTGCTTTGCCATCAAGTGATTGTGTCACAATCACAAATTAAGACTTACTTGGGAAAGTCACCTTTAGCTGCAATATTGGTATCTGCTGAGCTTTACTCAAGTGATAATGCTGGGAACTTTTTTCTCTTAGTGTTATCTGCTGTGACTGCTGCATCAAGGCAAGTCTAGTCTTTACCACAGCTTACGGTTTTGGTTTTTGGTTTTGGGTGGGGTTGTTTTTTTTTTAGATTTTCTGTTTTCCCTGGACCTCCCCTAGTCATAGGATGCTTTCCTTCGTCCCACTGATAGCTCAGATCTACACTCTAACTTGTTTCTAAGAAAATAGAAGGGGGAATATTACAAGGTACAAAAGCAGCCTGGGTGCCACAGACCAACTCTTGTCATACTTGGATAAAAAAACCTCTGGTTCCTTTCTTTCATCCTCTGTAAAGTGGTTGGGATTACTCTGTGCTCTATTTATACAAGGGTCAAAAACTTCACTGCATTAATGTCTGTCTTCTAAGTGCACCAATAAATCAATTGCATGCTATGCAAATTTTCCTGCTAAGGAGGAAGATGTGTTTCCCTGAGAACTCAGGTGATTTGTGTTGTGATTCTAGATGTCCATGCCCTTCAGAACGTGTGTACATCTCCCACTTCACTTCCTAAAATTTTTGAGACTCTCCAGAGAGGAGGACCCAGCTACTCAAGAGCAGAAGAAGTCAGAGTTGCTGCATGCGGTAGAGCACTGGGAGTGTTTTGGGTAAGCTAGGACAGGGATGTTGTTTTTACCTTGAAAGATGTTACCCATTAGTTGTATATGCAAGTCTACAAACATGCAGACAATAGGATGTAGTATTAAGCTGGTCAGCTGGATGTTATGCTGAATGACTGGTTTAGCCACTGGTCTAACTAGTCTACAGTTCTCTGGAAGTATTGTGGATTTTAGATGACCAAAAGGGAGGACATGTAGGTGCTGTGAAATCCATTTTGCTTTTTAGCTATTAGGTTGCCGACATGGATTCAGAAATGTCCATATTAGCTCAGGCATAGAAGGTTCCTTGCAACACCTTCGTTTGTATGAAAATTTCCAGACCCCATTATATTCTATCCCCACAGTTGGAGGTTTGTCACTACAACCCAGGAGTAGCCCTCTTATACCTAGAAATAAAATATGCTAATGGTCTCGGGTATAACTGACTGAAGAGTAATGCCACAAATGGTTTCTCAGCCCTTCCACACACATAGAGACACCCTTTCCTTTTTTTTTTTCCCCAGAAAGGGAACTATTTCAAAAAGAGCATTTGACAGGTCTGCTTGGAAAAGACAGACCTTGTGCGTATAAGTGCAGTATCTAGGACTAGAAACATACATTATCTGTTCTTTCCAAATCAGTTATATATTCGACTGGGGAACAGTTATCTTTTTCTCTCTGAAACCAATTCTTTAATGTAGCCAAAAATAAAGTCGCAACAGTTTCTTGTTCAAAGGCTTGCACTTCAGCTGCCAAAAATCAGGGGTAGTACTCACTACTGAAGTTAACTGTGTGGGGCGGTGGTTTGGTCTGCTTTATAATGCAGAAGAGGTTTGAGTGGCTGTATCACTGCTATACTTCAGGGTGGGGGGGGGGGGGGAAAAAAATCCTACAGCATCAGGATGCAGCCATAACCTTGGATCAACCACAGATGTCCATTATCCCTATGGCTGACATACTGTCAATAGAGAGAAGGTGTTGGTAAATGAAGCTGTTCTGGTGCTTAGTAGGCTTCCAAAGTGGAGCTGACTGCTCTCTTGAACTAATGCATTTAGCTAAATCACTTAGCAGTGTTGGATCATCCATGGGGGAAGGGTGGAAGAGCACCATGCCCTCTAACAGAAACATTGGATCAGCTTTCCTGCTTTTCTTCTTCCCTCTCCCACTCTAGTGTTCCTATTATTTTGGAACCCCATTGCCTAGCACAGCCTCTGTGGAGTTACACAGGGACCATGGCAAACTGGCTGACTGTGGACATCTGCACACACTGTGAGCAGTATCTGTTGAATATGGCTTCCAGTGAACAGCAGAGCATCCATCTCAGGAGAATTTCCTGGCCTTGAACCAAACTGGAATGACTCTACCATAGATTTCTCCTGTCCCTTGTTCTGTACCTGAAGTGAATGAAACAGCTTTATGCACCTACTGACATAAAGGCCTGAATAAAAGACCTCCCTGCTGGTTAGTCTAAGCAGGAAGCACAGTTAATATTTATGTATTGTGAAGTATTATAAAGCTTTGTGGTTTTTAGAACTGTTTTAATTCTTTTTATGTGTCTTTGGGGAAAATAAATGTTGAAGCACTATCATGCCTCTAGCATTTCCTCCTTTGCACCTGCAGTTGTCATTGTTCTGTGACACTGTTTGCATTCATTGCTGAGCAGACTTTGCCCTATGTAATGAGTACATGGAAACTTTTAACCTAAAACCTCTATTTCTCAGGTGCTTGGAAAGTGGAGCTCTCAGTTATGCATTTTGCAAACACTTACTCCTTCCTGATTAACTCACTAAAAAGCACTTAAACCTCATTGCTCTGATGCATGTAACACTGTAGTGATGGCTGTCAGGCAGGTTGCCCAGTCTGCTTGCTTAGGGAGCTAGCTCTGGTTTTTGTCTGTGTGCTATCCATGCGTTGCCACCAGAGCTCTCTGGTGCCTGTCACTGAACTACCTAGTATATCTCAGTGCCATCACCTGAGGGGCAGCTGGTTGTTCTCGAGAGATTCTTGCTCTTTGTATTGGCCTTAGGTTTGCCCTAAGCTAAACTGGACTATTACAACATATGACATTCTAGAAAAATAAAGAATGTTTTGGCAAATCTTTTGTGTGGTTAAAACCAAATATAGGATATTTGATAGTATATTTGTTTCTCCCCAGGAACAGCCTGTATGGAAGGAGTGTAGGTGCCCTAATGGAGTGCTCCCTGGTGTGTGTTACAGGGCCTGGGTAGGCAGTGTTGAAGCATACAATGGACTTGCAGTTGGAATGAGTCATGCTGAAGAAAATAATGGCTGGGAAGGGCCAGCTCTTCTAGATAGAGGACCAGGGAAGATAAGGCATGTTTAAGCTGAGCCCAAGGTCTGCATCCAAACTGCCAGAAGGGCGAATACCTCCAGCTGACTTGCGCTGGCCTAATTCTGCTTCCTCTAAACTGCCTGTCTGCAAGCTGACGCCTGCTTGCAGGTTTGGGCAAGCTCTGCAAGTAAATGAACGTGGGGAAGCTGGAGCTTGTGCTTCCTTTTGGTGCAAGTTCAAGTGTTGCTCTTCCTTCAGTCATTTAGGAGGGGTGCAGCCTGCCTGCCTAGGTCCTCTCCTGCATGTGCTAATCGTTGGTGCTGCTGGGAGGCACATCCATATCAGGCAGGTGGGCTCTGTGCAGGCTGTAGGGAATGGCAGCCAAGCCACAGCTGCCCTTGCTGGCAGGGCGGGGC